ATACTCAAAATGAATCCGATGTTGCTGAACGGATGAGACAAAACGTTACAAGTCAAATGCAAGATATTCAACCTCAACTCGAGTCCGTCTGTACTATAGCAGAGGTTACCTCAGAGGAGGTGTCCTCAATCATACGTCCGTCTGATGAAATATATAGTGTGCACATGTGAGTATTTTTTTCAAAATAGCATTTTAATAATTTAGGTCAAATTGCAAAAGTCTATATGATTTTAGAGCACAGGACCACGCAGCTGTCCCAATAGTGGTACCCCAACTACTAGATGCTGGATCGACAGCAGGTATTTGCAACGTAGCTTATTGTTTTTCGAAATCTCAATTCCTTTGTTTCAGTCGCACAGTCGTTGGCTGATGTCAGTTCAACAACAACAGCGGCTCCAACTATGGATGTCGACCCTGCAACTACAATGAGTAGTAGCGGTTTCATCCCTCCTGCTGTAGAAACTAGTGGGTTTTGAAATCTCTATATCTTTTCCTGCATAAAATCTTAGTCTCTAGGTTTGCTTGTTATGCCTCAAAGTACTGCAGTAAATTCCGTTGATCCGACACTGATGGCACAAGCTCAATTAGCAGCGGCTGCTGCTGCGCAAGTCCAAGTTCAAGCAGCCATCAATCAGCATCAGGTGGTTCGTCCTCCATTGCTTAAGTCATGTAAACTTCGAATAATGCGTTTAACAGATAGCTGCTGCTGTTGCCCAACAAGTAGCTGCTCACATTGTCAATGCTGCACCAGTGGCTGCTCCCGTCCCTGCCCCTATCGCTGCACCTATTGCTGCTCCTATTGCACCCGCCTTAAATCAGGTTGGTGATTATAACCAACAGTTCATGCAATTTTTGAATGTTGATTTATTTTTCTATGACACTGTAGTGTCTTACTTTATGCGTGCATGGGGATCTGCTTTTGTTCATTCTTGAGCAATGCTTCGTTCAAATATTTTTGATTGAATTACTCAAGTCAACTACACCCTTCCGCATAACTAAAAAGCAAATCAATGATTGACACTGAATTCAACAATTTGACGATGAAATGTTTTCCAGACACCTATCTTGGCCCCTGCACCAACTACTTCATTACTTTTAACCCCGTCACTCAATCCAATAGCAAACCCGATCGCCAACCCTATATCAAATCCCATGACGCCCATGTCCGATATGGTGACAATTCCGAGAGAGGTAATTTTTAAGCTACGTCCCTTTTAGTGGTTTCTCAATGAGGAAAATTGTTGTACAGGTACTTGTGAAGCTCATTGAAAATAACCCTCCCCGAGTGAATTGTACGTGCCAGTGTACTTGCGGGCGTTACCCACCAGGATGTGCTATAGTGGATGAGGTCAGTGTAAAATCTACGGTCGATCAGTGTCAGCCATTTGTGCTGTCTGTTCAAGTTAGGATAATATTAAGAAGAATCAGCGTTTGTATGCTTGTGAAGTATTTTAGGTAACGAAGGATCTTTTGGCTGCAGGAAATAACACAGCTTCTACGAGTAATACTAATGTGACTAGTGGCGTGGAGAATAAGGAAGAAGCAAAGCTTGAAAGCGCAGAGGATTTCCATGTAAATCTGCTTATAACTTCTCAGTCTTTCCTCTTTCAACTAATCAGTTTTGAAGATGAACGGTTTACTTCCTTCGGATGAGTCTAGTGTCCAATGGTTGAATGCTTGTGCGCCAACACTAGATCCACGAGCAGTAGTGGTGAGTTTCGGTCGTTCCTCTTTTCCATTTTGTCAAAATAAGAAAAAAAGACTGTTAGCATTTTCAGGATGAACGACCCAGTGGTCGAAGGGATTCCTTCTATGTGAACTCTGGTACGGTTGATACGAGAATTAACTCAGTTCCTGGTGAGTTGAGGTGTTGTTATCCTAGGGGATAACGTGTTATATCAAAGGTAAAAGCGGTTGTTTCTCATCAGTCTAATCCTACAATCGCACTAGGAATATGAAGTAGCAGAGGCGTTTTATTGAGGACAGTTTTAGTGTCAACAAACTTGAATGCATTAACTTCCGCTGATCACGTGTCTTTAAACGATGTATTGGCTGCAAACCATGTTTATAAGTCTTACGAAGGATCGATGGACCCGTCAGTTTCACCATTCGCGATTTCTTTAGCTTAAAACTGCATTCTGTGCTTTTAGTTCCCGACACGAAGATATAAGCCCTTTGCTCGTGAATTTTGCCGAGGGCAGCATCCGTCGTTTTGTTCGCATGCTCAGGAGACTTCCTTGCTTTAGTTTGTTTTGCATCCAGGACCAGTGCATTTTAATACGAAGTGATTTTTTTACTAGAATTATTTCCTCGGCTATTTCATACTTTCATTTATCTAGGATCGTGTATACCGTACATA